GTGTTGTTCTCCTTCACCATCGGACTCACGCAGCTCTACGGAAAGGACCAGAAGGACCCGGACAAGAACCAGACCAAGGACTGCGAGGGCATTTTCTGCCAGCAGCAGAGCAACGACGCGTTCCACACGTAAGGGCCGAACTCAATGCGTCAGATATGCACAGTGATGACATCTGCAATGACTCAAAGTTTGATCCAAAGGCCACTGGACTTAGTTAAAGATCTCCAAAAGGCTTCTTCAATTCTGAACTAACTGGTGGACGGAGCTCGAAATTTAAGTGGATCATTAGCATGCCAATCATCTCATGAGAGTCGCTAGCTAAGTCGTTGACCTTGACTGTTTTCCAAACCGCCTACTTCATACTGCTATCAAAGGTGGTGTGTACTGCATACTGCGTTCAACACTAGTGTGTAATCTGACCTCCAGTCTGTGGTTATTCTGCAGTACACCAGGCCCGGCTAAATTGGTTTTCCATCTTGGAATGAGGAAGTAAACAACAGCCCAGCTAACGTCCAACGTCACCACAGTGTAGCATCCAAAGGCTGAAAAGTGATTCAATTAGATTTTCATGATTTAGAGAATCAACAAAGATAACTGGTGGTGTCTTTGTTTGGTTTGGTCTGATTGTGATTATTTCCTCGCTGCTCGTCATTTAGATTTCTGACCTGGCGCTTTGCATTGTGGGAAACAGTACACGAGTGAGACTGGTCTGATGCAGACTGTAAAGTTTTTCCAAATCAGTCCAACAGCCGTGTTTCATTTTTTTGGCATACTGGCCAAATCAGTACATACTACTAGTGTAGTAGGCGGTTTCAAAAACAGCTCTGGTTTCACCTTGAGTTGGTCGTCTGTGGATCTTTGAGATCACATGTTCCAAGGTGGGACTGCGGGTTCAGAATTCAAAACCACATTGAAGCTTGTTGATAGATGGTGTCCCAGACCACCACCCGTGTTACGGGATGGTTTTTCCACCTTAACGTCTTCAAGATCTTCAGCTAAGATCAGCAGTCTTTGGGATCAAGCTTTGATTGGATGATGTGGATGACTCAGAACCTACACAGACATCAGAGATGGATGTTCAGAATCCTGCTCATACTAAAGACAGCTGTTTAAAATCATTATGACTCACCACTGTTTATGAGCTGTCATTTGAATGATTTGTCATGCTGCCTTATTCCTCACCTGCATCATGCTTCTTGTGTTTCCCAGGTTTATGGGGACCTGCTACGCCCTGTTCTGGTACATCTTCTCTCTGGCACATGTTGCCCTCTTCGTCACCCGCATCAACTACACAGAAGAGCTGCGCTCCTTTGTGGGGGCCATGATCATAGGCACTTACAACATTGTGGTTGTAATAGTGCTGACCAAGCTGCTGGTGGCCATGCTCCATAAGAGCTTCAGACAAATCGCTGTAAGTATGAACAATCTCTTTGCACAGAATGTCTTTGTTTTGTAATGGCTTCAAGGGTAGTTTGAGCCTAACTCGGGGCCGAGAGCTGCAACTGTTTTCATTTACGGTACGGATTAGATTCTCTGATTTCTCTAATTCACTCTGAAATGTTTCACAGATGTTTCTCTTTGGAGCCCTGTTGCACATTTGGCCTTTCTTGGACCAACAGTTTGATTTTGATTATGCTGAGTAAAAACAACTCCGTGACTAGAAAAACATGGACCCCCTCAAGGATTTCCACAAATTCTTGCATTTTCAGGATTCCTCTCTAAATGCAAAGCTGTGTGTGAAAGTTAATTCTCACATTCCTGCGTACTTTATGTCCTTGTCGGCTTGCAGAATCACGAGGACAAGGAGTGGAAGTTTGCTCGGGCCAAACTGTGGCTAAGCTACTTCGACGACAAGTGCACCCTGCCCCCGCCGTTTAACATCCTCCCCTCCCCAAAGACTGTGGTCTACCTGTGACCAGCATGAGCAAGTGGATCTGTTCACACACCTCGAAGGGCAAAGTGAAAAGACAAAACAGCCTCAAGGTAAGAAAAGAGGTTAAATAAATACAAATTCATAATTTTATGAGATTTAAAGGTCACATATTATGCACAATACACTTCACCACATTTCTCTAACACTAACATGTGTCCTTTGTCACAAACCCCCCAATGATGAGAAAAGTCCATCTTTTCCGTCTTTTGCCTGCTCCACTTTTCAGAAAATATGTGTTCAAACAGGCTGTTTGGAGGTGTTCCCTTCATGACATCACAAAGGGCAGTAGCCCCTCCCCCAGGTGGGTGACACTCCCACAGCTATTTGTTTGTTCTGCCCTCTGAGTCTGCCGTCTCACCGTAAACAATAGGACAGGGAGCGAGAAAGCACCGAGTACACCCAAGCTCTTCCAGAGAGGGGGCGTGGTCAGACGCAGCTCATTTACATATTTAAAGGTACAGACACAGAAACAGCCTGTTCTGAGCAGGGCTGAAATAGAGGGGTTTATAGGCATAATCAAATACAGGATCAGAGTGGATTTAGAATAAGACACTTCACACACATGTTTTGTGGCGCTCGACTTATTTACACTGGTTGTAAAAGTTTGAATAATATGTGACCTTTAATTCAATCTCTTTCCTTCATTTTGAACAGACATCTATGCTTTGTGCAACATCGTGTCCGTTTTCTGAATCCCTCCTCTGTCTCTTTCTATTCAGGAGTGGAAGAACCTGAAGCAGAAGTGTGATGAAAACTACCAGAAGATCATGTGCTGTCTTGTTCACCGCTACCTGACCTCCACGCGGCAGAAGATGCAGAGCACAGATCAGGCCACGGTGGAAAATCTCAACGACCTGCGCCAAGACCTCTCCAAGTTTCGCAACGAGATGAGGGACCTGCTGGGCTTCCGGACCTCCAAATATGCCATGTTCTACCCGAGGAGCTAAGAAAAGAAAAAAAAAGAACTAGATATTGCCTCCCATTTTCCCTCTTCTTCTAAACAAAAACCTCTGCTTCTCGTTTATCTGGGATGCAGTGAGCATGTGCAAACAATCAAACAGAGGCAGATTTTAAACCTGGAACTTCATTTAAAATATATTTATTCTCCACCAAAGCCTCCAGACTCAGGCCCCCATATGTATTATTCAGCTATTCTACCTGTTTTGTAAATAAAGAAAGCCATTGTTTTCAACAGAAAGCCAAATAAAGACTTGTGAGAAATACTACCTACATGCCATAAAAGCTGATTTTGCTTGATATGAACTCTGCGTTGATATTTGGAGTTCATTGTTGGTTTTCCAACAACCAAGGAGCTGTCAGAGCACGCTACACATCTCCCGGTACAGGCTCTTGTGTTATCACGCATTGACTAGCAGGTCTTTCTGCATGCACTATCAAACCCCTGCAGATGATCCAGAACGCAGCAGAGCGACTGGTCTTCATCCTACCCAATTAATCTCCCACCACTGGCTCCCAGTTACTGCTCACAATTTAAAACTCTGCTGCTCGCTTACATAACAGCCACAAAAACATCTCCTCCTCCTTCCCTAAACTCTCTGATCCAGGTCTACACTCCCTCCCCCCCACTACGCTCTGCCAATGAAAGGCGTCTGATCCAACCTTCACAACAGGGTCCTAAGTCTCTGACTAGACTCTTCTCCTCTGTCGCCCCCCGGTGGTGGAACAAACTACCAAACTCCATGCGATCTGAGTCCCTCTGCACCTTTAAGAAAAAGCTAAAGACCCAGCTCTTTCATGAACACCTACTAACTTAATGATGATTACGATATTTAGGATGGTTTTGATGCTGATAAGAACTCTCTAGAGCAGCTGTCGTTGTTGTGCTTTGCCTCTGGTCACTTCCTGTCAGCACCTGCGTCTGATCAGACTCAAAGCTGTTCGTTTGCACTTCCTGACGTTGTCTCCTCTCTAGATCTTTGCTCGTGTTGTTCTTACTCTCTGATGTCTGTCGCTTTGGATATAAGCATCTGCTAAATGAATTTTAGAATTGAATTGCAGAAAACTGATCTTTGGCAATTCAGATCTGACAGCAAGACACATTTCAACACAAACACCTTTTCCAGTCTCATGCTTCATACAGCAGCCGTGCAGCGAGCACTCTCTGCAGACCCATCAATCATACATTTATATACTTTGCCGTTATTTCATTTCCAGCCAGAAGGTCTTGTACAAAAAAACAGATAAGAGGAAAACGTTAGAGGAGTTTTATTTTCGGCAGATGATAACAATAAAATATAAATAATATTCACAGACTTTTCCGTATGAAAATAATTTCATTTCTTAGCTCTGCCTTTTAAAAACAATGCCAGTAAATCAACTAAATCAACTATGCTGATGTCGGCACTTCTGAGTCTCTAAACAAACCAAAGAGAATCATATTTGTTTCACTCAAAAAACAAGGAATCATGTTTATACTATTATTATTATTATTGCACTTTTTAGCCCACTTTAAGCTTCCAGTCCTGCCCGCTGAAGTTAACAACAGAAAACTAACTGCAGCTTTATAAAATACGCTTTAAAAAAGGATATCGGTCAGGCGTGTGATTTTAAAGGAAGAATGTGCGACATGTTCCCTATAAATAAATCATAAATCCAGTCTGTCCTGTGTAAATGTGTCTCTGAGTCCTGACTGTCTACAATGAGGGAGAAGCTCGAGTCCCGCTGGCTGTGTTGTTGTCAGAGCCGTGTTTACATGGACGGGACGGCCGGCTCCTCCCCTTGTGTATAAAAGCTGTTTTAGTCAAGAACTAGAGAGAAGAAGAAGAACATACTCACTGATTATTTGGATGTTAGTAAGAGTTTTTAGATCACGCTCATTCTGTGTCAGTTTACGTGAAATGTGAAGCTACGAGCTAACTAAAGAGCGCTAACATTAGCATGCTAACACAAACAATGCAGGACACAGGTGACTGTAGTTCGAGCTAAGGACAATTTTGTCCGCTGCTTGCACTAAACTCCTCCGTGTGAACGTGAGTGGAGGGGGTTTGGAGGTGTGTCGCTGGAGGAGAGCGGAGGCTTCAGTATGGAGGAGGCGTGGCCTAACAGAAGTTTGTTTTGGTTTCATGCTGGAGCTCAAGGGCGACATCTACTGGGTCAAAAGGTCGCACATTCTTCCTTTAAGACTATCTTTAATTAATATACAATTATATAATTAACTGATACAAGAGGAAAGAATTAGAAAATGTTGACGTTGGTAGTGCAATCTCAGAATTTAAAATGACCTTTCTTGATGTCACTCTGAAATGCTACCTTTGTGCTTGTTTGTGGTTTCTGTCACTGGTGACGAGCTAATCTCCTGCGAGGGGGGCATGACGGGAAGTTCACAACACTTCAGCCATCTTTGTTACTGATGAATGATGCGTTTCATTTACTTCACAACTTGGATCTCTGAGCTGGGAATGACGTTGCACCCTAGTTAACCGTGTTCCAGTTGCGAGTTAGACAATCAACATGGACGCCTCAAAGAGTACCTTTGTTCCTTTTTTCAGAGATAAAATGGAACACACTGTAATCTTGGGTTGCAAAACAGAAAAACGCAGCAAAACTATAAATTATGACGACAGGTGTGCTGCAGCAAAATGAATAAATACAGAAAAAGGATTTTCTCCTAGATTTAGTTTTGTGCTGACAGCCGTGCATTATGATTCAGTTTTTATGTGTTTGTGTAGTTAAGATGGAGGTTGAGTTTTTTGGGGGGGCTTAATCGTTTCCATCCACATACAAGCCTTGGTGTCCAGTTGAGATGGTCAGAGCTTCAGGAAACTCAGCATTGCTTGTTCTTCAGCACGTTGAGTCCTTTCTGGTTCTTCGTCTTGAACGCCATCACAAAGTGTTGAGGGGCGATCTTCCCCCGGCCGTCTTCGTCCACCTCGCCCATGAAGACGTAGTTCAAGCCTGGTGAAGTCACACAGAAAACACCTGAATGCAGTGGCGGAAACGGCAGAGACATTCAGGGAGGCCGTACATCAGAATCTCCTCACGGCAGGTCTGTACTCATATGTTTATACGCAGACGTATAAACATATAAAACAGGACTGTTTGGACTTTGAGTTCTGCCGCTCACCTCACACTTTGGGGAGGAGCTTTATCGAGTGACGGCATGGGGAAGGGAGGCAAACTCAGAGCCAGAGGTTATTCAAAACAGTCAACCCCGGACCCTCATCACATCATTTTGTACATGCCTATCTGAAGACTCCAGCACTCACCTCTCCTGACAAACGGACACTTCTTGCAGAGGATTGTGATCTTGGTGCTCATGGTCTTTCCCGCCTGCTGGATGGCCAGATTGCCTTCTCTGTACACGTTGATGATGGAGACTGTGGCGTACATACTTCCTCCTCTCATCACTGCAGTGATGACGGTTCCAGTAATCACTGTCAAAGACAAACACGTACACACAGCGCCATTTTTAAAACACTAGTTTAAGTCCTTACATAAATATAAAATATGAGCCTTCCTCTAGAATTCAAAGTAGACGTTGATGCTACATAAAAGCTCACACACTTCCACATAAACGAGGATAAAACTGAGCAACAGATTCAGAAGTGCAGCTTAAATGTTCTGTAATCAAATGAAATTAAAAAAAAGGCAACTTGACTCAGGCTTTCATTCATCTGGCAGGGTAACGTTTAGGGGGTCAATTAGTTAATCCAAGTGTCTTAAAGGTCACATATCCTCCTCCTCTTCTTCAGTGTAAATAAGTCTCAGAGCTCCTCAAAACATGTGTGTGAAGTTTTTTGTTCTGAATCCACTCTGATCCTGTATTTGATCATGTCTATAAACCCCTCTATTTCAGCCCTCCTCAGAACAGGCTGTTTCTGTGTCTGTACCTTTAAATATGGAAATGAGCTGTGTCTGACCACGCCCCCTCTCTGGAAGGGCTTGGGTGTACTCGGTGCTTTCTCGCTCCATGTCCTATTGTTTACGGTGAGAAGGCAGACTCAGAGGGCAAACAAACACCTAGCTGTGGGAGTGTCACCCACCTGGGGGAGGGGCTACTGTCCTTTGTGATGTCATGAAGGGAAAATCTCCAAACAGCCTGTTTGAGCACACATTTTCTGAAAAGTGGAGCAGGCTAAAGATGGAGAGGATGGACTTTTCTTATAATTGGGGGTTTGTAGACAGACTAGAGACGCATATTAGAGTTAGAGGAACATGTGAAGTGTATTTAATATAATATGTGATCTTTTAAAGCTTCAGTTTAGCCTCTACAAACTGTGTCTCCTGTCTATTTTTGGGGAGGGGATTCTGTATAAAAGCAACTCTAAAGGGTGAAGCTTCAGTGCTTGTTTAGTCTAACCAAGTTCCCAAAAAGAAAATTACAGTTGTTGTTGTTTTTCTGCTCACAGGAGAAAAACCATTGACATTTAACTGTGGCATCTTTGGAGCCAGTGAGAGGGCAGCTTCAGCATGAACACTATTCTTTACAATATGTCTGCTCTTTACAGTCAGCCAGTTTTATTTTCTGACAGGGATGAGAAGGTACTGTATATCACAGCATTACATTCAACAGCATCAACCGTTTTGACTCAAGGTGTTCATCAAAGGAACTCTTTTCTCCGCCTACTGTCTTGCCGCTTCACCACATCACACAGACAACTGTTTCCACATGCAACCACCACGTCGCTTTCTCTTTCCTCACTTCTCACTGCACATCCAAGTGAACTCTTTGACATGCCAATCGGCCACATGTGTGGCAAACAACTCCAAGAGAAAAAACATCAGAGCAGCAAACGGAGACCGAGTCGAAATCAACACGTTCTTTTATCAGCAGAGACAGAGTGTGTGTGTGTGTTTGTGTGTGTACACAGGAGGAAACTGTGTCCTATACACTCCTTCACTTCCTGAGAGGATGTTAAGGACGCCTATGAAAGGCACAGCGAGAAATCAAACCAGCTAAGACAGTGACATGATCAGGACTGATACCTGCTTGCTTGTTTGGGGAGACGCTTCAACAAAGAAGAAATATGAGGACAGAGTTAGTTACTGGTTTTGTGAATTTTTAGGGATTTCTTGAAGGTGGAGAGTGAGGGGGGGGGTCTCTGATGTTTTTTAGAGATAAGTTCCAGAGGGTGAAAGCGGCATTGGAGAAGGCCGCCCTGTCCCCCCTCAGGACCGCTGGTTAGTCCTGCAGCTATGTGACCTTTAAAGAATCTGTACAGTGTAGGTTTGGACATTTAAGGTGAAATATGTTTCCACCAGCAGGTAAATGTTCTAATTATATGAAAAAGGCTGAAACACGTCGGTGACTTTGCTCAAGTTAGTAAAAAAAAAGAAATTGCAATAAACAGCTGATATTCTTACCAAAATTGCTGGAGCAGTAATTGCTCTCAAGTGTTCCCGTCTTTTGCATTTCTGCTGGCACAGAGCCACCGAGTACTTTAGAGCTGTGGAGAGAGAGACACACACACACACACACACACACACACACACACACACACACACACACATACACGCACACATACATACACACACACACATACACACACACATACATACACACACAAAAAGAAAAGTTCATCTGTGTCATTGTGCCTGCCAGTGATTCAAACATGTGAGTTATGGCTGCATCTGTTTCTGCTGCGGTTTATTTACAGAATATTCTCAGTAGCACAAGAGGCTCTTCAAATTAAAGGCCGTCAACCTCAGAGACAATGTGCAGAAAATCTAAATAGCCGGATCGTGTGGCGAGGGAACATCTGTTTTAAGAGTTAGAGATTGTAAAGACTCCTTATAGGACAAGCTTCAAATAAATAAAATGTGACTGTTAAAACATTATTTTAGCTGGAGAAGGGAAGTTGGGGAAAGATAAGCCGAACCAGACGGTGTTATCATAGTCTGACATCATGGCAGAAAAGTGCCAAAATAACTTGACTTGAGGGGGAATGTTAGCATCTCTGATTCAGAATTTGTAATCACAAGCGTTATGAAGACGAATCCTGGAGGAGTCAAGTCGTATTTAAGCAGAACTCTTCTCTGTGTTCTGGTCTGTCCCAGATGTGAAATAAGAAGCAGACTTCAGCGGGCCCTGTTTTTTTTTAAAGTGACAGATGAGCACCATGTCTGCAGGAAAATTTCAGAAGTACAAAGCTAGCAAAGCTCCTCAGTCTTCATCACATGGAGACGTTAAAAGAGGTTTTTTACTAAAGTTGGTACCTACGTATGGGCCTGGTGGTGACGGGCTGTGTGGTCGTGGTGGGTGGTATCGTGGTGGTGGGGAATTTCTTCGGTCTGAACTTGTAGTGTCCAATGAAGCCGTCTGCGGTCAGACTGAGATCTGACAGGAACTGGATCAGGAGCTGGTTCCCGTCTGAGAACACCGGCCTGTGAAGAAAAACAACAACAAGCCGACCGAGTTTAACCCCAAGAGGAGGCAGAGCGATGGATGTTCAGTTCAGTGAAAGTTAAATCTCCAGGACAGAATCACCTACGCTGGGGGGCTGTCTCCGCAGTATTTCCCGATCCTCTTGGCGTCGTTGATTTCCGCCCCGTTGAAGATCGAGACGTGGTCGTAGCGGCAGTAGTTGTCTCTTTCCACATCGAACTTCTCAAACTTGACTTCAATGATCTGCAGCGGGGTTCAATTCACAAGGAGAGATCTTCTTCAATGAAGTGGAAGCTTTTTAAAGATTAACAGGATGAGCCGTTTGATTAAAGGGGTGGCTTATAATTTATGTGAAGATGTGGTTCTGATCCACGCCCCATTACACACTGAGCTGTCTTCAATTAGTACTCCACTGATTTAGCATTTCAATAAGATTCAAATTTAACACAGAAGAACAAGTATTCTTCCTCGTCTACACCCACATTACCCACAAAGCAACTCTAAACCACTGAACTTTCTGTCAGCACTTATGGGTTTTAGGTTAATAAGTGCTTTAAAGGCTTTATATGTGATTTTTTGATCCAGCAGATGTCGCCCTTGAGCACCAGCATGAAACCAAAACAACTCGCGCTGCATTGTTGTGTTAGCATGCTAATGCTAGCGATCTTTATTCTGCTGGTATCTTCACACTGCATGTAAATTTACCTGAAATGAGCGTGATCTAGAAACACAGTTAAGCAGTGAGTACAGTATGTTATTCTTCTTTTCTCTAGTCCCTCAATTAAACAACTTTTATACACGAGGGGAGGAGTCAGCCGGCCGTCCTGGCGATGTAAACAAACTGAAGATAGGACTCTGAAAACTCTGAAAACATCACAGACAGTGGGACTCGGGTGTTACACCCATTGTAGACAGTCATGACTCACAGAGTTATTTTCAGAGGAGATACTTGATTTCTACATTTAAGTGTGAAACATCACAAATAAAGACTTTAAATAACCAATCAGTGAGATGTGTAGAGAGTGAGATGATAAAGGTATCTTACTATCTGATCATTAAAGAAACATGCTATGTTGAAGTGCTGGCTTCTCTGACAACAATTCAGCAGCCAGTATGTCCTCCTTCTAACTTTAGATTCTGCTCCTGAATGCTCTGGATTTGTTTGGACCAGAGAAGGTAGGCGCTTTTAAGACACGCCCCACACGGCCGTTTTGGACGCCCCTCGGTTTGTCAGATATGAGAGCAGTTATCAGGTCAAACCAACAGGCGTTGCAGCGATGGAAGCGGGCAAGAGAAGTGGTTCAGATAGCTCTAAACATGGGGTGGTGTTAGGGCGGGGTTGATTAAAAACTCTAAACCAGTAGCTACTTTCCCTCAATCTGTGAGCCTGTAAGAGACATTTTCTATAAATATAACACTTTACATGTGACCTAAAGAAAATACAAGATGAGTCTGCTGTGATCCTTCTGACCTGGTTCTTTGGAGCCACTATGTGCCAGGAGCAGGTGACCCCAGCTGGGTAGTCCTTCTCAGGCCAGTTGGGTGTTTTGAAAGTCCCTGAGGGCTTATCCAACCTGCCCCCACAGTACTGCTCCCCTGTGGAGAAATGAGTTCAAAATTCAATCCTATGATCTTTTTTCCCGTCATTGTTTTAAAAGGAAGGAAAAGCGTGTACATTATACGATCCCGCTGTAAACCATGCACTGTAATCGGTGCCCTCGTTTGCCTTCTTTGTGATTATGTGTGTGCACCCCAGGGAAGGAAGTCACTCATTAGGCAGTTTAAAAAAAGACAACTCCGTCAAGCATCTGATAAACATCATGTCAATGACAAGCTCAGGCTGTTCAGACTGTCAGAGCACCGACTCTCTATGTGACTATGAGAAACACTCCACAACAACAAAGACCTGCTGGGGCGCCAGATAGCCTGGTGGTTATGTCACGTGCCCCGCATGAAGGGAGGCCATACTCCTCGTCGCAGCGCCCCGTGGGTTAAAATCCTACCTGGCTCTTTGCTGCATGTCATCCCTTACTCTTTCTCCTCCCACCATTTCCTGTCTCTCTTCAGCTGTCCTATCAGATAAAGGGGGAAATGGCCCGAAAAAAACAATATCTTTGACAAAATAAGAGCTTTAAAGGCTTTATATGTGATGTTTTGATCCAGCAGATGTCGCTCTTGAGCACCAGCATGAAACCAAAACAACTCACGCTGCATTGTTGTGTTAGCATGCTAATGCTAGTGATCTTTATTATGCTGGTATCTTCACACTGCATGTAAATTTACCTGAAATGAGCGTGATCTAGAAACACAGTTAAGCAGTGAGTACAGTATGTTATTCTTCTTTTCTCTAGTCCCTCAATTAAACAACTTTTATACACGAGGGGAGGAGTCAGCCGGCCGTCCCAACGATGTAAACAAAGTGAAGATAGGACTCTGAAAACTCTGAAAACATCACAGACAGTGGGACTCGGGTGTTACACCCATTGTAGACAGTCATGACTCACAGAGTTATTTTCAGAGGATATACTTGATTTATATTATATTTAAGTGTGAAAAATCGCAAATAAAGACTTTAAACAAAGACATGTTGTGCTGGAACAACACTCACAGTCGACCTGCTTGTGTCCATTGTGTGAGAATAGTTCTTCAAAAAGACTAGTTCATAGACATTGTCCCTTACAGCTGTCAAGCTCCTTAGGTGTACTGAGTAACCAGCCATTAAAATTCCACAAAAACAGGACGCAGGATTTTGCAACCCTCACAGAGAAGAAGAGGCTCTCTCAACTCTTAAGTGATGCTTCTGACCTGCGCTGCCAACCGAGGAAACGTCAGTGAGAAATTCCACATCACACTGCGAGAAGTGTTCAGATGTTCCTCCCGCTTTGTCCACATGCCTGAACCTTCAACTCACAGCCTTGTCCTGGACAAGCGTGACACCTCAAAGGTCACTTTAAGACTGAGAAAAAATTACTCTTTTTGTTTTATTATGTGTTGGCATTGATAGCTAGTTTAACCTCACTCTCTGTTTGTGGACCTATGATGATTAGCTTTTTAAAACCCTGACACGCTCCCAGGCCAGCATCAGATTCCTGTATGGGGTGAAGTCATGGCTGAGACAGTCCCACCTGGCTCTGTCTTACACCTTTCAGTAGTGACACTATATCACTACATGGCTACAACACCTTTCCAGCTTTTGCCACAACATCAACCTCCAGATCAAGAGTGCCAGACCTCCTCCTCTCCTACATGTGTGCCTACCTCTCTCATGTGGGTGGGCGGCAGAGAAAACAGCCAGGAAGCCACTCCCGGCAGTGTTGGCGTCAGACACCATCTGCATGAGCATCTTGTTCCCCGTGGAAACCAGAGCGCCGGGCTTGAACGTGCCACAGAAGCGTCCGAGTCTCTGCCCGTGGACGTGGCCGCTGTAGACATCCACATAGTCGTAGCGGCACAGGTTGTCGCTCTCCAAGTCGATGAAGCGGAACGACAGGACCACCACTTTTCCCTCAGGGACCTGGGTGGGATTTACAGGAGGGGTTAAAGGTCAATTCCACATAATTGTTTCTATTGAGGGCAATAAAATAAAATGTCCCTCTCTGATTAGCTTTCTACTTCAGTGATGTCCAGAAAAACAGGATTTCAGATTCTTATAACACATTTTTGCACTAATTCTGACTTAGAGCAAGGGAATGCAACCCGGTCCTCTGCGAGCTTTCATGTTTAGATGTCGAGTCTTTCAATGGAGCCAGTCAGCTTGAAAGCTGCCTTGCCTTGACTGCTTGCTGTGGTTCAGTATTTTTAGAAGGAAATTAGGAGTTTGGGGTTGGTGGCAGAGTATCATATTGTGCAGCTGTTTGGTGGATTTTCTATAAACAGTTGATAAGTTGTATCATCATCATCATAAGTACAGTGTGTGAGGAAAAGTAAAACGTGTGAATATGAAAGTGAACTTACTGTGATTCTCCACACACATTTGGTATTTGGAGGGTAAACTCCTGGGTATCCCTGGCTCCCAATCACTCCAGTGTCTCCTGTTATGTTTCCTCCACACGTGAAGGTTGGTCTAGGGGGGGAGAATGTTTTCTAAATTAAAAATGACATGCTTTCACAAAAACATCGTACATGAAAAAAAAAAAACGCAAAGCCTGAATGTGCTTTAACAAAGATGTAATTCTATGCGCCACATGCAGAACAGACTGCAGAATGTGCCTCTACATAAACTCCACTCCACTGACGCTGCGTCCTCACAAGATCCAGTAACACCTTGCTCACTCCTCAAGCTTTTCAAATCAACAGAACAGAATAATAATAATAAAGGTATACCTCCGCTGAGACTGCGCGCAGACATCTGTCAAGAAGAGTAGACTCCATGCGCAGAAAACACTGCATGTTCTCCACATTGTTGGGTTAACGGAGCACACGCGTCGCCTGTTTTCGCCCCGTGGCATGAATGGCATTGTGTTCATCAGCTCACACGGTTTGGGTTAGGGGGGAAAAGTAGCCAGGAGTTCCTGCGGGAGTTTCAGTAACTGCAAGCTGGAGCAGATGAATATAGCGTTTGTTCTTCTTGCGTGGAGGGAGGGACGTAGGCATAGAGGCTGCTGCTTTTCCCCCCACGAAAAAAAACGATGAAAGAAGCGCTGGGAGGGTGTGAGGTCTTTGCATTAGTTTCATAATGCACCTGGCCTGAAAAAAAAAGGTGGCAAGATTAAACTTGAGCCAAGAAATCATGCATGAATGATCTGGCATTCCTGGTTTGCAATATGTTCCCTGTACACATGGTAGAGATTTGATTTACCCCAAATCGTACAACTCATTTCATACACATAGGGTAGTGTTTAAATAAGAAGACAACTCTGGCTTGTTCTCTTAAACACGAATTTAAATGTATTTTCCGACAGCTGAATTAAAATGATGTCTGAACTGGCCGTAGGCTGTCTGTCACAATAATCTGCAAAGGTACCAGAGATGAGTGAGGGCGTTGGAGAGCGACAGCACCACCTGCTGGAGACAATGTGGCAAGACAAGGCAATGCAAGTTCATTTCATCTTGTACACACCAGCCGATTCAAAGTGCTTTACACAGGCACTAAAAACATACCATACCATACATTCAAACCTTTCATAAAATAGAAATATGTGCGTGCATGTAAGAAATACTCAACACTTCTACAGAATGCGTACACCGTTCACTCACACTAGACATGTGTGCATGATCTCTGCATCACTGTGGTACAACACTGCCTCTCTTTCTGCTCTTTACATTACTTTCTGCTATTGATCATACCAAGTCACTTTAATCATCACTTGTCACTTTATCTTGTCATTCTCTGCAAATACTGTCTCAACTCCCTGCATAGTTAACTTCATCATTCATTTTGTACTTGTATATACCCCCTGTTTTTATTTTTATTTATCTTATCTATTCTGTTTAATTTGTGTTTTGTATTTTGAGCTTTCTTGTCTGTGCTGCTGTAACGCCCGAATTTCCCCTCTGGGGATCAATAAAGTATTATCCTATCCTATCCTATCCTATCATAATCAAAAGGTGCAAACATGTAGACAGAAACATGTGTGCACATGTTCCGGGGCCTCATTTGACTCAAATTCAATAAACAGCTCCAGATGCAGTTTTTCTTATTTTAATGTAAATAAATTAATTATGGGGAAGTGCCTGTAAAACATTCACCCATTCAATTTTCATTTTGCAAAAAAGAGCCATAAGAATCATCAGTAGAAGTCGGTATAGAGCTCCATCAAACCCAATATTCATTCAGTTAAAGTTGTTGAAATTTCATGAATTAGTTGATTACAGTATTCTGCAAATTATGTTTAAAGCTAATCAGAAAACATTGCAAAAAAACATCCAAAACAGATTTGAAAAAAGGGAAAGCCGTTATAATTTAAAAGGAACAGAGATCTTTAACAAACCGAGATTCAGAACCAAATTGAGGGAACGATGTTTTACTGTGAAAGGAATCTCAACAGAGAAACTAAAGAATCAAAATCAAACATGATATTTAAAAGAAACATTAAAGCCAGTTTGTTGAATAAATATGTGGAAATATGTCACTGAGATACTGTTTTGTTTTGTGATCCTGTAACAAAAATGTATTGTGATATGCTTTGTACTTTTTTGTATTTAATTTAATTTTAATTGTTTTTGAATTAAGTGTTCCGTTTTGTTTTAATTAATGTTTTGTGAAAAAGGGCAGATATTATAAGATTAGTCTTCTTTCTGCTCCTTTTCATTAAAAATTGAGATTTTATGTTTGTTTGAATGAAATACAATTTACAAATAAAATAAAAAATAAAATAAATTAATAATAATAATAATTAATAAAAAATTATAATTCGTCAGAAGAAGAAGAAGAAGAAGAAGAAGAAAAAGTAGAACAATCGAGCTTTCGCAGTCATCGATGATTCCGAGATCGACTGTGTTCGTCTGGAGTTTACATGTACCGCTATCTTCTAATCGATAGTCGATTTTTATTTTAGTTCCACAAAAGATGGCGGACCGAGCGCCTGGTGGCTCTCAGAAAGCTAGCGCTAAGGTGAATGTTCACTTTGTGTTTACACGAGCTGTTTCTAACCTGTTGGAATGAGAACAATGTAAATAACCAGCCGCGACTATTAACGAACATTTACGTTTCGTATGTTTGTTTGTGATGAATGTACGCAGCGGGTTTTAATGCAACTTCCGACGTGCTAATGCTAACATGCTAACCGTCGTCTCTCCGCTGAGTTAGCTCAACTATGCTAACGAGTTAGCCTCAACAAACCGGGGGGAGTGAGGACAGTTGACCCAGAAATAAACATATTCCTGGCGTTTTTCCAAAAGATGTCTATGCAGTAGTCTAAGTGGAACTCTTAACTTGATTTAGGTTTCTATAGTTTAATAGTTAATTGAGTGTTTTGGACGTGAGGCCTGAAAACGTTTCAGTCCCGTTACGGCTTCAGTCGGTGGCGCTGCAGCAAATTCCACTACGAGGAGGCCGCTGGGACGTTTCTGCTCCATGTTTTAATACTTTACTGAAGTCTGACTGCAGCTAAGTTGTTAATATGCAGCTTTGCATGTAAAATACATGATAAGTGACCATTAATGATAAGAGCAGGGATGTTAAACTCAGAATAAACAGTGAACCAGGTGCATGCTGTGTTTCTGCAGCTGTCAACAAAGGTTTCAAAACATCTTCATGATAAATTAATTAACAACTGTTTAAGCTTTCTGCAGCTATAAACAAGTTAAAAACACGACCTGCTGCTGCTTCCCCTTAAATTCACTCTGATTTCTCTACTTTTATTTAAACTAATTTCTGCTTATTCTGTCTTTTATTCTAAATATTTCTTTCTTCTAAATTCAGTTTGAAAGCTTCTGTAACCACCACGGGGATTATTAAAGTGTTTCTGATTTATTTAATATGTATTTACCTTCTTTAATGTCATATTTCACTGTAACTTTAATAAGTTTTTGCTTCTTAAATTTGGGTAACTCTTTGAACTAAGGTCACAATATGTGGGCGGCAGCAGCTCAGTCTGTAGGGACTTGGGCAGGGAACCGGAGGGTCGCCGGTTCAAGTCCCAGTGCGGACCAAATCTCATAGCTGAAGAGGAGCCAGATTACTTCCTGAGTGCCGCCCTGTCACTCTGACATCTCTCCATTAGTGCATGTCCATAGGATCCTGTGTGTGTGTGTGTGTATTTCAGCCTATGTGTTTGTTGCATGACTTACAGAGTGTAAAAACTTACATTTCCTCTCACAGGGATCAATAAAAGTACATCTTAATTTTCACCATTAAGGTGGGGTGGCTGTGGATCAGTGGTTTATCAGTAGAGTTAGTCGTTCCTCAACTGGAAGGTCGGGGGTTCAATCCCCAGCTCCTGCAGCCACATGTCCGATGTGTCCTTGGGCAAGACGCTTATCCCAGAGTTACTCTCGCTGCTTCCTCTGCAGGATTAGTTGCTTCTGATTGTCATTTAACACGGCAACCTTTACCATCAAGTGTGTGAATGTGTAGTTGTGACCTGCAGTGTATACAAGCTCAATTCCATTTACCAAATAACTAGTAGCATTTTAGCATGATTACTCAGTGTTAAGCGCTTATTAGTACCTTTATTCTACATGAACATACTTTAGCTAATAGGTCATGTACTTGGCTAAAATGGCCCACAGAAGCCTTTTTTAAATATATTTTAATCTACAATATTTCTTACCGATCAATAAATAAAAAATTGAGGCGACAATTTTAAATTCCAAACGACCCCACATGGGGTCGGGACCCATAGGTTGGAAAAGCCTGCCCTAAACATCCTCCTAATTGCTGCTTATTTAAAGTATGTTAGGATGGTGTTTTACATGACTTATGATCTTAACATGCTTTGCTTAGTTTGACTCTTATAAGCCAGGATCAGTGACTTGACTCTGAGCACAGTGAACAGAGTTCCAGTCTGTGTTTGAAAACATTGAAGTACCTTTTCTCAAACTGTTCTTTGTCGACATGAACAGGCGCTGCTTGAGAGCAAACTGAAGTCGTTCAGCATCGGCAAAATGGCTGTGGCAAAGAGAACCCTGAGCAAGAAGGAACAAGATGAGATAAAGAAGAAAGTAAGTGTTCACCTCGTTTGAGATCATCGCCTTGATTACATGTGTGGCCCTCGTCTTTGCATATTCTGAAGATGCTGCTGTGTTTGCATTCATTCACACTCTCACTGGTTTTCTCTGCATAGGAGGATGAGCGGGCAGCAGCGGAGATTTACGAGGAGTTTCTCGCTGCTTTTGAAGGAGGGGAGGGTAAAGTGAAGGCTTTCGTCCGTGGCGGCATTGCAAATGCAACGAAAGGTACAACTTGATCGATATATTTAACCTATTACCTGTTGGTTGGATGTGTTCTGGTTTTAGATCCCAGCATCTCAAATTCATGTCTTGCATGGAGATTAAAGTCAGATATGCTCTTACTCCATTTTCAGAGGAGGCAGCTGCTGATGAGAAGAAAGGAAAGTTGTACAAGCCCAAGTCCCGTTTTGAGACCCAGACGAAAAGCTTCTTGCCTTTGGACACCCCACCTCAGTTTTTAGCAATAGACAAAAGACATGTAAGTACTAACACAGTCGACAAGTAGCTCCTCCTGTTACTCATGTACGGCCGTATATTTTGTTTGTTCTGCGCTGATGTTTTTTTTTTTTTTTTTTTTTTTTTTTTTTTTTTTTTTACACATCTTTATTTCAGTCTGCAAAGAAAACTAGCGAGAAGGAGAAGAAGAAGAGCAACTTGGAGCTTTTTAAAGAAGAGCTTAAACAGTAAGCGTCGACACATAAATCTATTCAAGTGTTTCAAGCTCGATCCAAAGACAACCGGACTCTGATGTGAGTCATCCTTGATGATCCACAGAGGATCTCTAGCTCAGTACACCTGAAAGTTTAGACTTGAAGAAGCCTTTCAGAGGAGGAGAGGTGAAACATCTTCAAGATCTTCAACCAGTCCCGTTGCCTTTGGATCAAGCTTTGAATTTACCATGATCTGGATGACTGAGTACCGACACAGATATTCAAGTCTTTATTTGTGTAGTTGTTTACACCAGCGGCTTCTGTGTGTTTTGTTATGAAACCATATTGACCTAACATGCATTGTCTCTAATTGTAACCTTGTGCCGTTCTCCTGCAGGATACAGGAGGAAAGGGATGAACGGCACAAGATGAAAGGACGCGTCAGTCGTTTTGAACCTCTGGCGGGTGCTGATGGAAGACGTTCCTGTAAGTGTCTTCAAGTCTGTTTTCCAATTTACTAACTTCGCCGGAAAATGGTCCATGTCCTGCACGCCTTGCTCCAATCCTCCACAATCCCCCTTGTCCACCGTTTCCCCTGAAACAAAATTTATACTGCTTTCTGCTTTTTTTAGCGGATGGTTCTTCAAGAAGAAACCGTCCGTCCAGTGGTAATTTTGACTTAATATAGTGGCTGTGAATTATCTTCATCTTGCTGAGAAAGTAAGTTGTCCCCTCAGGCAGCAGTATGAAATCCTTGTCTCTTTTTTTTTGTCTCTGCAGTTTTGGATGATTGTGCTCCAGGTTCCCATGACGTTGGAGATCCATCCACTACCAACTTGTATCTTGGAAACATCAATCCCCAGGTGAACATGAATGAAGTCTTGTGTGCTGCTTGTGACCTAAATTTGAAGGGCTTATGATCTGCCTTGGAACATAGAAATAATACATACATTGTCTTTTTTCTTTACAGATGAACGAGGAGATGCTGTGTCAAGAGTTTGGCCGCTATGGACCACTGGCCAGCGTCAAGATCATGTGGCCGAGGACGGACGAGGAGAGGGCTCGGGAGAGGAACTGTGGCTTTGTGGCTTTCATGAACAGGAGGGATGCTGAGCGAGCACTCAAGAACCTAAATGGTGAGAAAATGCATTTGATTAAAAATCCAGAATATAAGACACAGTCTGATTCTGGAGGATTGATTTCTATCGTGTTCAGCGTCTATTACAGCGTGAAGTTTCTGTGTCGCTCTTTCAGTTCGGTCTGTTTTCACTTCGGAGAGTTAGCACTCCTATTAGCTACAGTACGGTAGTCGAGGTCTCAGCTTGCAGTGAAAGTTGTGAAGAATCCTACAGACCCTCGAGTCGTGCTGCACACCTCCGCCGGTCCATCGTTGACTTTAATCTTTTCAATCCAACCAGCACTCCACAAGCTTTATTTACTGAACTGTATACCACCGTTTGCTTTAAATGCAGCGTCATGACCTCATGACGGAGAGAAGATGGTTAAAAGGGGCGGTGCCAGCCTCACAGTGTCGCTATGTTTCCCAGCACAGCTTGCAATACACAATGAGTGGGGTAGTGTTCCAGTACTCGAAATGGCCCCGAGACCACTTTTTGACTCGGTCTCAGACTGGGCAGACAATGGAATTTAAATCAAGACCACAACTAATGGGCTCTCTTTCTACATCATTACTGTGATTAGAAGGACACGGTTACCCCTGGTTACGGCTGCAACCTTCCTGTTTTTATGGTCTAAGTCAGTGACACGCCCCCTGAACACAAGACGATGATTTTTCTGTAATATTTATCGTCTTGGTCTTGTCTTGGTCTTGCCCTTCCTTGGTCGTGGTCTTGACTTGGCCTCGATCCCTAAATGTCTCGGGGTATGTCTTGCTCTCGATTAGTGTGTGGTCTTGACTTCAACACTAGAATGGGGGGTGAATTTTTGAATTGCGTCATGTTGCTTGCAGTGTGTGATGGTGAGGGCTGCGCTCACGTTAATGACGGCGCCCGCCTCAGTATCTTACACTGGTATAAAGGTCGCAGCCAACTTTCTAGATGAAAGATGAAAAATGTGTCTTGTACATAATTCTTACGGCATATGTACGTGAATAATTAGTGTATTTTTTTAACTCCCTTCACAGGAAAGATGATCATGAACTTTGAGATGAAATTAGGATGGGGCAAAGGTGTGCCCATTCCGCCCCACCCCATCTACATCCCTCCTTCCATGATGGAGCACACACTCCCACCGCCTCCCTCCGGCCTACCCTTCAACGCACAGCCCAGGGAGCGGCTCAAGAACCCCAACGCCCCCCTGCTTCCTCCGCCTAAAAACAAGGAGGAGTTTGAGAAGGTAACTCAGCATGTCAGCCTGGGATTGTCTCATGGGTTATTGCAGTGTGTGTTTTTAAGATGTTAGCCTGTAAAAAACGAGAAGCAGTGGGGGCAGCTTTAAATTCAAATGACAATGCATGATTAGTTTATGTTGAGTTAAAAGTTTTGCACTGTTTAAAAGTGTGCGTAAAAATGTAGAAAGAAATGTTAGCGTGTGGAAAATGCTCAGATGTGTTAGTGATACAGTCTCAGGGGTGTTTGGCCTTTTTTAGTAAAAACTGACAGCAGTAAAGGAACGTTGTTGTCTATTTGCACTTTTTTCAAATGCATTTTTTATATTTTTCACCTGTTGCCTTTTAACAATACTCACATTCTATGTTTATTATCTGATGTGACTTCATATACAGACTCTGTCGCAAGCCATAGTCAAAGTGGTTATCCCAACAGAAAGGTACATGTTTTTCTTTTTTAAAAATTGGTGTACAAACTTAGAAAACAAAACATCCCATAATGAAGCTGAAAGTTTGATCGGTTTGATCACCGCATGCTACAGGGGGCTGGTCAGTACGGGTGAGCAATGGTTGAGACTGCTGCACTCTGTCATGCTATTAATCCATACTAGAGTAACACTGACCGACACTTTCTGTTTCACACTCCTCCATCACTCACATTTCCTTTATGTATGTAACAAAACATCATCGTAGCACTTAGTGATCGTCGCCGTTTGGAGTCAGACGTCATGATTTAGCTCATCACTAGGCTTGGGCGGTATCAATCATCATCATCTTGCTGTTTTACCGGGGGATACGACGGTATTTGTAAAAAAAAAGCGATAACATTCACCGTTCATAACCTCGTTGCCGACCTATGTTTTGCTGTAGCTTCGCACAGACTCCTAGTTAGCGAGCTCTCTGCCTGACTCCACAGGTCACTACTTAACTTTAATTAGGACTCCACAAGGTTTATTTACGGAATATACCCTCGTTTTCTGTAAATGCACGATTAAAAGTCTCCCTCCTCCACTCTGATGTTAGCTTAGCACGTTTACCTATCAGCTTTGTCTCGACCTCCAACGTTGTGGCCACGGTAACCGGGGTCTACATAGGATCTGACCCCTGCTGGCGCGTGCTGTGCACTACAACCCCTCACCTCAATACATTATTTTTGCGTCAGTTTAACAGAAGAAGTAGTGTTTGTATTTTCGACACTCTGGTGTACCTGAATACCGTGAAACAACCCAAGCCTACTCATCACACCTTCACTTCACACATCAACATTTAATTTAGCTGTTAGTAGCAACGTGCTACTCCTCCACAGTCCACACATACATCACATTCTGCTGACTCTAGCTCTGTAGTTGTGAGAATCGCGCTCTCTCCGACCATTGCTCACTCGCACCGTCTACCCCCTTGGCCTCTGTCACTCTTATCGGGCGCTCAGTAAATCTGGCCCCCCTGCTAACAAATCCAAACTGCTAGCATTAGTCTATATATGACCTTTGACATTGGCCTTGGTGAGCAGCACAAGTTGAACTGTCTGCAGCAGCGAGGGACCTGAAAAGCCTCATGGGATGGATTGGGAAAGTATACTGAATTTTACCCCCGCCATTGGTACGATCGGCTCCAATACAAGTAAATGTGATCTGTGTTGTCAAATGAAAGACACCCTTTGTCTTGTTGGCCACTTGAGGCAAATTGTATGCACCAATAATGTCACATAAGAGTTTTATAGTGATCCCATTTGCACTGTACTCAGTCCTTACAAACTCCACCAGAAGTTTATTCAGGCCAACAATCCTATACTGCTTTGGTTCTTCCTCAGTGTACGTTAGCCAGGAAATGAAAGGCACTGTACTGACAACACTTTGAGTCAATGCAGTGTCTTGCTCTCACTTTCCCAAGTTCTTCAGCTTCACTTTTGTGAAACTTTAATCTAGGAAGATGTAAAAAAAACAAAAGAAAGAAAGGCTCCAGGCAGCGCTATGCTATGTAATGCTAATGTGTAGCATTGTAGGCATGTAACTGAATTCATTTATACACATTCTATCTTTACCATCACTGAATTTAAATTCTTAAATGAGTAATACAGTTTTAACTACTGAAACATCATCAGTTGTCATTTAAAGTCTTGATTTTTTGGCAGCATTGATGTTATGATTCGTAGGCTCAGAGGCTTTGTCACAGTTTAATTCATGTCTGGTTACATAATGCTCTTTGACAGGACTCCTCTGTGAAGATGTAATATTTAATCCTGCACTGTGAATCTGTAATAGACTGATATCCTGTATCCTAGAGGCCGACCGACTAATCAGCCAGCCGATAATATCGGCCGATGTTAGCATATCCAGTGGCTATCGGCTAATTTTATCACAGATATCACGAGATTTATTTACCAGTCGCATTAAATTTGAGTTTCATTGTATTACACTAGCAGTTCTCTTTCACCAGCAGAGGGCGCTGTATGGATTACAACAAGCTTTATCGCTTTATCAGTGTGTTGATATCGGCCCCTAAAATCCCACATCAGTCGGGCCCTTATCTTGAGTTATTCTAGTGACACCCCCCCCCCCCATGTGAAGCCGTGTCAGGATACAACCCCTGATGTTGTCAGTCAGGAGACCCCCTGCTCTGAGCGTAAATCCACCAGGCATGAATTAAACTACCAGACGGGCCTTTTTTTTTTTGTAGTGGTCAAGGGTCTGGCCAGTCTGAATCCGTTTTGCTTTAACTGTGTTTTTCTTGTAGGAATTTGCTCTCTCTCATCCACCGAATGATCGAGTTTGTGGTGCGTGAAGGCCCAATGTTTGAAGCCATGATCATGAACAGAGAAATCAACAATCCCATGTACAGGTCAGTTCAGCTGAAGACAATCCCTCCTATTGTTTTGCTAAGTCTTTGCATGGTTGTGATTTGTTTCCTCATTTCATTTTGACTTTTTTTTTTCCTCTTCAAGGTTTTTATTTGAGAACCAGAGCCCGGCACATGTTTACTACCGGTGGAAGCTCTATTCCATACTACAGGTGAGAGCTTTATATCAGGGGTTTTCAGTCTGCATTCAAGTGAACCATGAAGCTCCTTTATCATCTGTTTTCATAACGGTTTGGGCGTCACAGTTTGGTATATGTCCAAGTGGAGATAAAAAGACAACCACACAGCAGTATTCACACCTCAATCCAGGTGGTCATAGCTTGTTTGCTAACCGCTATTAAATCACAAACGCAGCCTTGTTACAAAGTCTCAGCCTGTGTGAACATTAGCCAGTCCAATGTCCCTTACTTTCAGACACGAGGGGTGATAACAGCGATGTGACTCACACTTCATAAAGATTGTGAATTTGATTGATTTTGGTTTTGTTTTCTTACACGAACCCCAGGAGGAATAGGTTAATGTTGAATACACTACAGGCTTCACCTGCTATCACAGGTAGTTCTTAACAACACTGTAACTTCCATGACTGTCGTTTCAAAATAAATTAGGCAAACCTAGAAATATGGACCGAACTGTGACCCCAAAAACTGAGGTCCAAAGCGAACTGTTACACCCGTCAGGATCATAGTCCAGGAGGTTTTAACCATTCTTTATTAACTGTCTTTTGTTTGTTTGTTTTGTTCAGGGTGAAGCTCCTGCCAAATGGCGAACAGACGACTTTAGGATGTTTAAGAATGGCTCTCTGTGGCGCCCGCCTCCTCTTAACCCGTACCTCCACGGTCCTTATGATGATGGCGAGGAAGAAGAGGAAGAGGAGGAGGGGTGCAAGAAAGGCTCTCTGAAAGAAGAGTAAGACCTTATCCAAATCTTAATCCGCATCCCGCTGTCGTTGTTGGTTGAACCTGCAGTCTGACGTTTTTCTGTCACCTCCACAGAGAGCGAGACAAACTGGAGGAGATGCTGCGAGGTATGACTCCCAGGAGGGGCGACATCGCAGAGGCCATGTTGTTCTGTCTGAGCCACGCCGAAGCAGCGGAGGAGATCGTGGAGTGCGTCACAGAATCCCTCTCAATCCTCAAGACCCCCCTCCCAAAGAAGGCAAGATGGAGCTCTTACTGCCAATTTCATTGTAGTCGGTGGGCGCCGTGGTCCGTCAGAGGCGTGCACTTAGGCGCCGTTCGCTGCAGCTCTAGTCAATGATCCTGTGACCACATCATGTGTCCGTCCGCTCTGTTTGAAATGTGCACAGAGTCTATATTTGACGGAGCTCGCTGCAGACACAGGTCAAACTGAACAGAATAGATCCAGACAGGAAGTGCTCAGAGCATCTGGTCTTTTTCAAAATAAAACATAATATACAGACCTGATCGTATATTCCATCACTTTATCAACATTAAGTCAAAACAGCCACAGAATGAACAACAGATCATCCTCAGAGAGACAAAGCAACATGTTTGCTCGTTTTTCTCTTTAATCCCGCGTGATCTTGTAGTTCTCGCGTGATCTTGTGAACAGCAGCAGACCCAGTGGGGCGGGGCTCGCACTGAGCTAACTGACTGTGTGGAAATTGCAGGTTCCAGTCTGAATGAAGTTTACGGTCGACATTCTGGCAGAATCATGAAGTATTATTTTCTCTCTCACTTTTCAGATTGCGCGGTTATATCTCGTTTCTGATGTGCTGTACAACTCTTCAGCCAAAGTCTCCAATGCGTCTTACTACAGAAAATAGTAAGTTGCTTTATTTATTAAAATTTTAAACTTTAACTCTGCACTGTAATTTGTTTAAACTCTTTAAATTTCTTACTTTTATTTACTTTTTTATTTAAATTAATTTCATTTTTACATTTTTATTTAAATTAATTTCATTTAAATTATTTTTATTTGAACATATTCTGAGATTTAATGATTTCAGTGATTTTTACATTTTCTATTTTAATGTTTCTTTTCTTTCCACTTTGAATTGCTTTGTTGTTGAAATGTGCGACATAAATAAACTTGCCTTACCTTTAGTTTTTGCACTCTCAATTCATGCTCAGCTCACACAGACCATGACGTTTGTTTCTAATGTATTAATGCCTCTCTCTCTTTCTAAACAGTTTCGAGGCGAAGCTCTGCCAGATTTTCGCAGACCTCAATGCGACATACAAAGCGATACAGGGCCACCTTCAGAGTGAGAACTTCAAGGTACCAAATCCTTAAAGTCAACATAAAAAAAACAGGAAAATAAACCATCAGCAGGATGTAAACTGACCGTCTTTGTCTTTTCTCTCCTTTGTGGCAGCAACGTGTGATGGCCTGTTTCCGGGCCTGGGAGGACTGGGCTGTGTACCCGGACCCCTTCCTCATCAAGCTGCAGAACATCTTCCTGGGTCTAGTGAATCTGGCTGCAGAGAAGGAGCCTCCTCCTGTCATTGTGGAGGTGAATAATCATCGTGATGTCATCAGAGTTCTTTACAAACGCTGTCCTGTCAGTCTCACTTATCTTTATTTTCTCTGTGTCCCCAGCCTGAGCCAGTAGAGGACATTGACGGCGCTCCAATAGGGGAGTATGTAGACGGCCTCCCGCTGGAGGATGTGGACGGGATGCCAATTGACGCAGGGCAAATCGACGGGGCTCCCATCGATGGCGCCCCTCTGGACGACCTGGACGGTGTCCCCATCAAGGCTTTGGAAGAAGACATCGATGGGATACCATGTGAGTAGCGTTGTTGTACGACGTGTCCTCACGTCAGCAGGTTTTGTTTAGAGGTGAAGATTTATTTTCTGTTTTGTCTTTTTTTTAAAAGTTGATCAGTCAAAGGAGGCAACCTTCAAAGTAGCACCCTCCAAATGGGAAGCAGTGGACGAGGCGGAGCTAGAATCTCAAGGTCAGACATCGAGCTAAAAATTATCTTCTTATTATTCTTTCTTCTTTTTTCTTCTTCTTCCTCCTCCTCCTCCTAACCTGGTCTTTTGTTCTATCTCCTTAGCTGTAACAACGTCAAAGTGGGAGATGTTTGAGCAGCCAGAAGAAACCAAAAAGTGAGTTTTTATTTACAGATTTTACAGTATTTGAGTATTTTATTTTATTTGTTAATGATTTGCAAGAAGGGCCATGCACCCTTAAAAAATTTTTTATAAACTGTTTCAAACTCTGAAGGGACGATGACAGCGACTATGACGACAGGAGCCCCCGCTCAGACGATAATCAAAGCTTCTCCAATCCTGCGAGAGACGACTCGGATTACAAGGCCAAGCAGTCGGAAATGAACGAGGAGAAACGCACCAAGCTCAGGGAGATAGAGGTACTGTGACATACCGTTTGTGTGTGTGCACATGTTTGTTTGAGCACCTTGAAGACGTTCATAGTGTTGTGTTCTCCCAGGTTAAGGTCATGAAGTTCCAGGATGAGCTGGAGTCTGGGAAGAGGCCCAAAAAGCCCGGTCAGAGTTTCCAGGAGCAGGTGGAGCACTACAGGGACAAACTCCTCCAGAAGGTAACGAGTCGTTCTCTGGAGATCAGCTGATGTCATATAACGAGTGTGCACCTGTTGTAAAAACAACTGGGTGTTGTTTTTATTGTAGGAAAAAGAAAAGGAGAAACTAGAGCGGGAGAAAGAGAAGGAGAGGAAAGAGAAGGAGAAAGCTGACGCCCGGTTGAAAGACTTGAAGAAGGAGAAAGAGAAGGAGGACACACCAACAAGGAAAGAGAGGTGAGATCAACAGCTCAGCAGTGTCCCGCTTTGATAAATCAGGTTTCAGAGGATTAGTAATGAGTTTGATGTCTTGCCTTTTTAAGATATCGGGTCTCTCTGATTCCTAGGAAAAGGCGCCACAGTGGGTCGCCCAGCCCCTCGCGGAGTAGCAGCAGACGAGGCCGCTCGTCCTCTCCTCGCTCGGAGCGGTCGGAAAGATCAGAACGCTCCGACCGCTCCTACTCTAAAGACACATCGTCCCGCACTGCTCACAAAGACTCTCCCAGATCCAGCACCAAGAAGTCATCAAAGAGGTAAGACGCTCTGCCTCTTCACTCCTCGTGTGGTTTAAATGTGACGCTAAACGCTTTATTAGTGTCTGTTGGTTTAGGAAACTGAAAATGTTAAGATGCTATAAAATGTTGAATTTAAATAGATAGATACTTTATTGATCCCGAGGAAAGTTCAAAGCATCCAGTAGCAGGTTACAAAGACATGACATGAAACATTTGTTACACATACATATATATTAACCTGAAGAAAAGATTTAAAGAATACCCCTAGATGAATCAGACTGAAACTGTGCAATTAAAAATAGACTTATGCAAGAAATGTACATAACCCGTGCAGGGATAAGAACCTAAACCTAACCTAAAAACAGTTGAGGAAAAAATCTGTAATTAGACCTGAATATAAAAAATAAAAAAGTGTTGACCTTCTGAAGTTGTGATGTATCGATGTTTAAAAAGAAGATAGTCCAAAAAAACCAGATTTAACACATTAAATAACAGGCAGTGCAAACATTAAAGGTGCAATTTAAATAATTGTGAGGTTAGGTTGTTATTTTACGTCATGGTCAAAAACCTCTTTGATTATACCGACCTACCTGACAGAGACATTACTCCCCCACGTGGTGAAAAGTTTAACCAAAACAAAATACATGTCGCTTCTTCTCTCCACTAGATCCCCCTCGCCTCGCACACCCAAACGGTCGAGGAGGTCGCGCTCCAAGACGCCCAAGAAATCAACAAAGAAGTCTCGCTCCAAATCAAGGTCGCCTCATCGGTCTCACAAAAAATCAAAGAAGAGCAAACACTGACACGTCTTTTCCTTTTTCCCGACCTCCAAACCAGCCTCCCCTCCCCCGCCTCCCCTCCTCTCTGCGCCGTGTTGTATAAAAATAAAGGATTGACTGATTGGGCAGCTGAAGATCTCTGCCCTCATGTTAATGTATAGACGATGACGAGTGAAGGTCTTGCATGGGGTTGCCATCTGGTGTATCAAACGGATGGGGGCCGTTGCTGTTTTATATTGTACAAAAAAATAATGTGCTTGTGTGTCCTTAGCCCCGCCCCCTCCCCCTCCATCATCACCTCACAATGGAATTCATCCATGTGGTAGACCACACCTCAACAGAGTGTGATGACTGTAGTCATATTCATGCTGTCATTTTCTGTTTTTGTAGTTCACAATAAAAAGGAATTCCTAATAAACACGTCTTCTTCTTTTTGTTTTAATTAGAAGTGTTTAATGAGACAATTTATACAAAGTGAGAGTAGATCATATACAATCATATTTATTTTTTGTGTAAAAATTACCAAAGGTTTTTAGAAAATGCTGATGATTCATTGGAGCTGGTTGTTACGGCAACTGAGGGCAAACTCACTATCTGCCAATCTGTTTGACCTCCAAAGTCCAGCTCATTCAACACTTCCTGTCCACCGCTCTACAGTTTGGCCTTTGCCTTTTTGAGTTGATCCCTCAGCTCTAGCCCGGCGATCGAAGAGAGGTGCACCTCATCCGGCCCGTCAGCGATACGAAGAGTCCTCACATAAGAATATCTGATGGAGAAATATGGAAGTATTTTCATCAGGAAGGACGCTCATGTCATGTCATCATCTCTCTAGGGGTAAAAAAAAAGAAAAGAAAAGGATTCTTACATTTGTGCAAGGGGGACATCTCCAGACACACCTGCGCCGCCGTACACCTGGATAGCGATGTCCACCACCTTACACGCCATCCTGGCTGCTGCCACCTTTATCATCGCAATCTGAGAAGAAGAATTATAAACAGTACAAGAAGATTATATAATGTGGAAGATTTAAGTGAGCTTGCATTATTCAGAGGGAAAACATTTTTTTTAACGACCAACAATCCATTCAATGCCGCTAAGTAAAGAGCTGGCTCCCGGAGGAGGACAGAGTCTGCTCCCGCTGTGACACCCCACAGGGCGAGACGGAGCTCCACTTCCTCACATCACGCCCCAAAATATCAGGCAGTGAGAGAGAGGAATACTTCTCCCAAATAACACGTCAACCTTGAATTTGAATTCAAGTCAAACTCCCGTATCTGCTGGGAGAAAAAAAACCTAATTGTGAGATTATAGAAGCAAAATGCATCAGACTGTCAGAACCAGTGGAACCTGAACACACAGGTAAGTATATGCATAGTATTATATAATATATATATATATATAATATTGAGTGTGTAGGAGCCAATTTAGTGTGTGTGTATTTATGTATTGTATTTCAATGGGTTTGGTTTATATGTTTATTTATTTACTAATTTGGACACTAGGTGGTGATAATTGATCAGGTGGTTGGTTGAGTGTTTATGTCACAGGTGAACAGGAAATGAGGGCATAGGTGGTGGGAACATAACACAACATAACGCAAGTAGGCTATTTAACATAACAAAAGAACGACAACCAAGAATATAATCTCTGAAATAAGAACTCATCATATCATCATCACGGTTTGTCTCTGCTTCATATGTGACAATAAACTGGAACATCAGAAAGTAAATTCATTTTGGACATTTGTTTATTTATTACAGGTCAAGAACTTTCCACACACCTCTCTGCAAGTGACTAAAAGCAAGATAAGAAATGTGGACGTTAGATAGTCACTACAGAGTGCGTTACCTGTTTGCGAGCAGCGCGGCTGCCGACTGTATCGAGAGCGTGAGCGGCCTGTAGAGTCAGCAGGCGGGTCTGCTCGATCATGAGACGGCACTCTGCGATCCAGTGAGCGACCACCTCCTTCACAGACGCACATGAAGGAGAGCACGTTTACTTCAGCTGTAGTTACAGATCTGCCCACTAGGTGTCAGCAGCAGGACAGTGTTCCAGTCACTGCAGCTCTGCAACACGAGTACAGAGGAACCTCTTTGGTCACACTCACATGTTGGTACAGCTTCTTTCCAAACGTGCTCCTGGAGGCCGCTCGCTGGCAGAGCAGCTCCAGCGCCAACTCCGCTGCACCGACGGCCCTCATGCAGTGGTGCAGCCGGCCCGGCCCCAGACGCCCCTGAGCTATCTCGAATCCCCTTCCCTCTCCTGCAAACACAAAAAAAGCACAGAACAGGAAGCATTATTCAAAGTCCTCCCCGGAGGAGGGAAGCGTGAATCTCTGACACACTGACCTCGTGCACACAAACTGCTGAGTCGGTGTTCTTTTATTGTACAAACACAATAAAGAAATGATAAGGAGCAGTAGATTTTTTATGGCTTTAGCGTGCTCCTTAAGAGGAACTAAAGTCGAATCCTCTTACCCAGGATGATGTTGGCAGAAGGGACACGCACATTTTCAAAGTGAACCTCAAAATGGCCGCCATGGATGGCATCTGAGCGTGGAGACAAAGCAAAGGGGATTTCTGTTATTTAGTCAGGAAAGCCTAGTAATCATGTTTGAATGCAAAAATCGGAAACAAGGGATGAATCTCACCGTCCTGTCCAAACACAGTGAGCGGTCTGATGAGCTTTACACCCGCTGTGTCCATGGGAACGAGGATCATGCTGTGCTGACGGTGTCTGAGAAACAAGTTTAAAACTAAAGTAAATGGATACCATCACATTCTCTCCAACAACAACAAGCTCTTTGTTTAATTTTTTCTCAGAATCTCATTTATCTCTCTTTGTGAACAAAAACGGTTGGGTGTGTGTGTCTTGTTACATTGCTGACAAAAACAAGTAGAAAGTGTATTACATGTCGTGGGTGTGGTTCCTTCAGAGCTCGTTTCATTAACTTCTTAAATGCTTGTAACTGATGAGCCGGAGATTAAGAGATTAGTTCCAGTCACAACAAGAGTCGGACCATTAAATTGCTTCATTTATTTTTGTCTTGGGATTCAAACCTCTGGGCAAATTTTTTTTATTTTTAAAGACGAGGTGGGAGGGATGTTTAAAAAGCACGCCGAGTCAAAGTCCATGCTAGTTTGAACAGTAGCACAGTGGAAGATAAATGTGTTATATAGCCTCATAAGAGGAGGTCAAAGGTGCACTCACAAGCACAGATTAATTTCAATCTAAAAACAGAAAATTCTGGACTAAATGAAGGGAATCAAACTTTCATAAATACAAATTAATAAGCCCAAAAAAATGCATGAAACATCTTTTCCTGACCTGCTGCTGACATCTTGCAAGCCGCTCCTGCACATCACGATGGCCACTTTGCATTTTGCATTGCCAGCACCTGCAGAAAAGGTACAAATACTTCTCCATCATTTGAAATTAAAGGTCACATATTCTCCTCCTTTTTAAAAAGTGTAAATAAATCTCAGAGCTCCTCAAAACGTGTGTGAAGTTTCTTGTTCTAAATCCACTCTGATCCTGTATTTGATCATGTCTATAAACCCCTCTATTTCAGCCCTGCTCAGAACAGGCTGTTTCTGTGTCTGTACCTTTAAATATGTAAATGAGCTGTGTCTGACCACGCCCCCTCTCTGGAAGGGCTTGGGTGTACTCGGTGCTTTCTCGCTCCATGTCCTATTGTTTACTGTGAGAAGGCAGACTCAGAGGGCAGAACAAACACCTAGCTGTGGGAGTGTCACCCACCTGGGGGAGGGGCTACTGCCCTTTGTGATGTCATGAAGGGAACATCTCCAAACAGCCTGTTTGAGCACACATTTTCTGAAAAGTGGAGCAGGCAGAAGACGGAGAGGATGGACTTTTCTCATCATTGGGGGGTTTGTAGACGGACTAGAGACACATATTAGAGTTAGAGGAACATGGTGAAGTGGATTCTGCTTCATTTGTCACCTTTAATGTTTTGCTGCTGTGTGCGACGCTATAATTACTGTTCAACTGAGCAAATGTTCAGAGTCTGACGCTGTCCCTGACCGTGCCATAACCCCGCTCTGTTTAGAAACAATGTGTGTCACCTCCAGGGAAGTGGAGGATCTGATGACAGATTGATGGCTCGGTCAAGGCCGGCTGAGGAGGACCAGCTGAGGCTGATTTACATTTCCTGAGTTCAAGTCTTTTACTTTGTCACTTTGTGGAGGAACATTAAGATTGAAGTTGTTCTGGATGAAATGCAGAAACATCCACTAGAGGGTGTCGTCATATTAAATTGTTAACAAGACACCACACAGACAGGATAAAATTAAAGTAAGAATTAAAGACTTGATATATGAAGTGAACCCGGTGATGAAGTCTGATTCTTTGGAATGTCTCTGTTTGGGAGTTGACTCTCAGACAGTCTCTCTCGCGTCCTTGAATCCCGGAGGCAAAGACAGGGTGACCAATGGCCTGCCTTCCTGTCTCTGCGTCTGTCCGAGTGGGAATACTGTTCCCTGAGGACAGACGGAAACATGTGGGCCGCAGACAGCCGCAGAACGTTGACAGTCGATATTCACAGTTATGAGAATCCCAGCAGGAGTGCATGAGAACACTTCACACACACACAGTGTGACACATGTTCGAAGTGTTTGAACTCCTTCTCTGATGGTGAAAATTTAACCAAACATTCGATGATTGAGCTGGCACGGCTGCAAAGCAAGTCAATTTGACACCGGCCTCCACCCAGGAACAAATCAAGGAGAGCCTGTTTCTCTCCGGGCAGACAGAGTCTTTTCTGTGAACCTTCATGAGCGTCTCATTGTCCGTGACACGAGGTGAGCCAAGGTGTCATGCCACAGCCGTGCCCAAACATGTCCCATAACACATCCCTATCACTACAGGAATTAAAACAAAGCTTCCCCTGTGATCCAGCTTCTGAGAATGTTGACAGCTACATATATCATGTTTCTGAATTAAAAAACAAGCTGCTCATCAGCTGACAAAAGTAAGAAGGAGATTCTACAATTCACTTATCAGACTCTTTTATCCAAAGCGACGTACATCAGAGAGTAAGAACAACACAAGCAAGGATCTAGAAAAAAGGGAACAATGTGAGTAAGAGCAAACGATCAGCTTTGAGTCTGATTGGACACACAGGTGCTGACAGGAAGTGACCAGAGGCAAAGCACAACATTGAGGGCAGTTCTTGAGAGCTCTAATCAGTATAGAAACCATCTTATAAGTCGTCGTTATCAAACAAAAACCATCGTCATTACCATCATCATCATCAATAATATGGAGACCATCATCATTAAGTTAGTAGGTATTCATGAAGGAGCTGGGTCTTTAGCTTTTTCTTAAAGGTGCAGAGGGACTCTAAGGAAGCTTTGAATAATGTGACAGGCTAAAAAAAAAAAACAAGAAACCAAAACCGCTCAAACCGGACATTTCAGGTCAGAGCTTCTTTATTCCTCTGAACACAAGGCGCAAACCCAAAAACACAGCATTCCAGAAAAAACCACAATAAACAATGAGGAAACAGAGAGGCATGATGGGATGTTAATTTATACCTTCCTCCGTTCATGCTTTATTTCCCAGCACAGACGAACACAAAGGGCCCTCCTCCCTGTCAGATATCAAGAGTTCACAACTCATCTGGGAGCAACTCCTCCTCGAGCCGATCTTTCTGCACACAGACATAAGCATGGAAGGAATTTTGTATTTATTCTTCTTCGCCTGCAACACAAGTAGTTCTTAAAGACACACGCGCGCACAAGCACGTGCGCAGAGAGCTACGTGTTTGGAGAGAGGTTTTCCTTCCCACTGAGCGCAGAGAGAGAGAGAGAGAGAGAGAGAGAGAGAGAGAGAGAGAGAGAGAGAGAGAGAGAGAGAGAGAGAGAGAGAGAGAGCCGGGAGGGAGGGAGGCGGGCTGAGAGGAAAGACAACACGCCTGCTGCACACACACACACACACACACACACACACACAGCCCTCATACTGTGGATCCACAGCACACTGTCTGTGTGTGAGCGCGAGCATCAGTCCCATCCTCACGTTCTCATCACACCGACGGAGCAGACACAAGGTAAGAGAAGAAATCCTCTTATCACTAATATTTCTGATGTGAAAACTGTTTGAAAAACTGTCTGGTATCTGCTTCAGGCAGCTTGATTTATAGAGCACATTTTCAAAATGCTTCACACACGACACACACAAAGCATCAGGACAGAGAGAAACACACACACACACACACACACACACATACTTCAGCTGCTCATGTGCCAGCTGATTGATTTGTTAGTTTTTGCATGGAGTAAAGTTCCGAGCTCATATTTTGTATTCATCATCTCGTTTATTTAAAGAAAATAAACGAGATATCAGATTTTCTTTTTACAAAATAAACACACACACACACACACACACACACACACACACACACACACACACACACACACACACACACACACACACACACACACACACACACACACACACACACACACACACACACACACACACACACACACACACACACACACACACACACACACACACACACACACACACACACACACACACACTCCCCCGGTGTCCGTTAGTGAAAAGGTTTCACGTCTCACAGTGTGCCAGTCAAAGTCCGGTTGAGGATCTTTATGACGTTATTCAAACCCTGCTGAGTGTTGTTTATCTCCTCTGTGTTTGTTGTTTTTCTCTGGAGCTCTTAAAAGTTATGTTTTTATGATTGAGTGATTTTTTAAACTCATTGTGACATAAACTGAATTTAAATGTGTAAATAAAAAAGTTGATCAAGAACATTTTTATAAAGTTAAAAAACGTGAGCATCATAAATAAAATGATGTTTTTTTTACAGCCATAACTTTCAGCAACACGCCTTTCTGTAATAATATTGTCAAATATGAATCCTATATTTACATTTATGATCCTTTATGAGTTATTTATTTAAAACAGACGGGTATGCAGCCTGTAAACTGATGCATTGAAGCGATTATAAACTAAGTCACACAGTTTGACTCTGTTCAGCTTCTAAGTGTGAAAACTAAACAACTTCTTTTCAAATATTTCACCTTTACAGTCTTTTTATCTTCCTTTAAGTCAAACACTTCCTACATAAAGATAACAAACTCTCCTCTTACATATGAGCCAGCTGTTGACAGCGGTGGAATACTTGACATTTTTTCCGCCTGTTGCGATGGACTTCTGCTCCGGTGCCTCCTTCTCCTCTCATAGCAGGTAGAATGACTTCTTATATAAGCAACCTGGACTCTTTTTCATGAAGAGTCTGCTGCTGTCATAGAGGGTTAAAGAGGGATAAATCAAAAATCCTGACTTCTGCAACCACCCGAGCATGACAGCGAGCTATTATATCATCAATCACGTCGTGTGTTTGGCTCTTTGGATATCACAGATTCCTTCAAACTTTAAAGCAACAGGACACGAGAGGGAGGAGATGTTGTCCTGGATATCAGCCCGGCTGTGATCCAGTCTGAGGATTAATATCCAGGACAACGTCTCCACCTCCACCGACTTTCATATGAATAACCAAAGTGCTTCAAAAGGACAAAAAGAATCAGACAAATGTAAAAACATATTTTTTTTCTAAAAGTATTATTGAAGGGGCGTCGATAGCTTATGTAACACATGTACAGAGGCTACAGTCCTCGTCTCAGCGGCCGTGGGTTCAAATCCGACCTCGGCCCTTTGCTTCATGTTGTGAAAAGACCCAGTGATGTTGTCACTCAGGGAATACCTGTCGTCCAATCAGATCGCTTGGTCGGAACCAACTGTTGTATAATCCTTGTTAGCTCACTAAAGTAAATACAGATGACGTCATGTTGATGTTTTGGAGAACTCCAAACTCTGAAGTCCCACCTCAGTTTGATCATCAAACATGATTTATTCAGAGGAAAAAAGAATGATGTAATCTGACGGTGACGACGCGCACACACACCCTCACACACACACACACACACACACCCTCACACACACACACACACACACACACACAGTCCTCAGGAGACTAAACATCTCCTCATCCTCAGCAACAGAACAACAAGAGGAGTCCCTCTTAAAAAAGGGATGTCCTGTTGAATCCAAAAACAAACCAGACACAGTAACAGCAACATCCTGAATCAGGACACAGAGACCTGATCCACATCCCTCACTGCACAGAAATCCTGCAGGACTCGTCTCTTCCTTTGTGTCCATTAAGAATCACAGATATTGAATCACTTCCTCTTCAGTGAGCTGCCTGTCCTCCAACAGAATGCTAACTAGCTGAACTCAATGTTCAGCCGCTTGTCCTGAGAGTTGTGTTCACTGGGATCATTCATGCCCACACACGGTTCAGACAGAACCGGCTCGAGCCACCAGGGAAACCATGCAGGAGAGAGA